TCCAGTCCAGGATCACAGGGAACTATTCTACACCAATCATCTGTTAGCTTCATAATTTGCAATGTGGTGCATCTCATCTCCACCTGGAATTGACTTTTGTGTAGAGTGAATTAGGAGCCCAACCTCATCTCCTTTTTTTTGCACACTATTGTTCTAGCATTGCTTATTACGAAGATTGCTTTTCTGTCTCTCACCGCAATGTGTCTTTCTTACAAATTAAGTATACAATTATGTGTGGCCTGTTTTGTGGTCTCAGTCCTGAAATATAGAAACACTATTACTTTCTTTATTGATTTTTATCTCCAGTCTTAAATATTTTAAGCTGCATTAATGGGTTTAATATATTTAATTTATTTTTAGCATTTAAATGGTTGACCAAGCAAGCACAGAATCCTAATAAGAAAAGCCTTGCAGAGCATCTCAAAGGCTCTTATAAATCTAAATCTAACTTATGAATTTATTGGGTCCATTTCTCTTCAGTATTAGAATGTCACACACACCCTTGTTCACATTCTCACGGCTTTAAACTTGAAATTATAAGTCAATTACATCTTTTAAAGAGATTGAACCCCAAGACATCTGCTAAATGGTCTGCTATCCTCATCTTTTAAATATTTCAAACATCTTCAGCAACAGGAGTGGATTACCCCCAAACTTGATGTAAAGTGTTAATGCTGGTAGCGTCGTTTCATCTGCTCTCTTCATGCATAGTCCTACGTTGTTCCTTATATGTGAAACACTGGTGGCAGAGTAGCAGCTCTCACCTTGCCGGGAATCACAGGTCTCATTTGGGAAAACAGGTGACAGAGATGACACCCGGGAGCAGGTCCTGGCACATTTAGGAGGAAGGGGACAGGATTTCAGTTTGACATCCTTGAGCTGGAAGCCGTCTCTGTTGCCACCTCCAACCTCTTTCTTCTAGGGCATTCTGTCACCCTGCTCCAGATATCCTAGAAGGACACTTTGAGATTCTGTCACCTCCAGAGTGCTTGTTCTATGCCTGGAATGCTCTTCTAGAATTCCCGCCATTGTTGGCTTGTCCTTACCTGTAAGAAATGTTAAGTGGCACCTTCTAGAATGCTTCTCCTGATCCCCTCTCAATGCCCACACATACCACACATACACACATCCCACCACACACACCACACTCAATGCCCACTATCCCCTTTGCTGAAACACAAGCAGCCAAATCCCCCTCCACCACCAAGCCCTTCACGCACACGCATGTGCTTGAACACACACACACACACACACACAAGCACACACACACTCCAGAAGCAAAACTCTCAAAGCTTTGTACATTCCACACCACCATGTATTCTAACTAAATATAAAACTCCAAAGTAATATTGGGAAGGTGACACAGAAATCTCCCCCCCCCCCCAAATTATGAATCTTAGCTGGTTCCTTTAATCACTCAGCGGACTAAAGTCAGACCTCCAGCTTGTCTGTCACTAAGACACCTTTCTGGCCTGCTATGGCTGGAAATCTCGCTGGGGTCCAACTAACAAAAATGTTTGCCACCAGGCTGTGGGCAGGCTTTAAGTGTTGTTTTGGCGCCCCCTCGTGTCAAGAAATATTGCAACACTTGTACATGCTGAAAGTCTTAAAATATTTGAAGTTTTCACTAAAAGGAATGTCCTTTGTTGATTTTCATTTAAACTCTTGGTTTTCTAAATCACAGAAAAATCTGACCATATCTTTTGCAGCACAAGATGGTTGAAAGTTATGGAGAAGCACTGGATTAGAGTAATCCATGGATATTCATAACAGCTGTTTTGTTTAAATTGCGCTCTAACACCTCTGTGAAGAACTTGCCCTACGAGTAAGCATGTATAAAACAATACCCGTAAAAATTAAAAGAAATACCCATGTATGATATTAGTCACTGTAGAGCTGGAAACAGCATACAGTAAACCAATGAAAGGGTGGTTATTTACAGAATGTCACACCTGCCCACGGGAACATCACTCAGTATAAAACAAGACCAATAAAGGAAAAAAGCTGGGCACGGTTGCACATGCCTTCAATCCTGGCAGTCAGGAGCCAGAGGCAGGTGGATCTCTGTGAGTTTGTTATCCGCCTGGATTACAGAGTGAGTTCCAGGACAGTCAGAAAAACATAGAGAGACCCTGTGTAGGAAGAAAGGAAGGGAGGGAGGGAGGGAGGAAGGGGGGAAGGAAGAAAGGGAGGGAGGGAGGGGAGGGAAGGAGTTTGTTGTTTTGGTTTTTCTTTTCTTTCTTTCTTTCTTTTTTTTTTTTTTTTTTTTTTTTGCATGTTTGAGGGCATCTGTTTACCACATGCATGCAGTGTCTCCAGGGTACAGGAGACTGGAGTTACAGAAGGTTGTGAGTCACCATATGGGTGGAGCACCAGCTACTCTTTTGTGGCTGCACGGTGGCCAACAATTCTGTTACTCCAGTTCCAGGGTCTAAGGCCCTCTGGGGGCACCAGCCACAAAAGTGGTGCACACACATACATGCAGGTAAAACACGTGTACATACATATTAAGGTCACCAGTTCTAGACCAAAATTCCTTATCAGTAGTAAGTATAGAAGAGCGATAGTCCTTCCCAAGTCCCAAGGATTCTTAGGGAACATCTTTAAATATACATGATAGTCCCCACCCAAAATAAACCTAGTAGGAGATGGGAAGGGACTGAAGAGACACAGCTTCATTTAAAGCTTTCAAAGGTGCATGAATAAATGCAAATATATTCTATGTGCATTAGGGAGAAAATTCAATATAATGTAGGTATAATTCCCCCCATTTAGTCTACAAATTTAATGTAATTTCCATTATAATTATGCTGAATTTTCCTTTTATCTGAAAGCTGACGGTTAAATGTTAGGATTTTGAGGTGCCCCTAAATGTCATCTGGACTGGAGTGGTGGCTCACACCTGTAAGACTCAGAAAGCTGAGGCGGGGAGGTACCTCAAATTCCAGGCCAGGTAGGTCTATAGAGTCAGACCCTGCCTTGGGAAAACAAAATCTAAGTTATTTGGGAACATAGAAAGTACTCAGAAATTTATTTAGATTCTAAAAGTTAAGTGTTCCACTTATTAAAATTACAAATAAAAAACTGCCTTTCTTTCTTCAAGGATTTAACTTCACCTGAAATGCTATTATAAGTCTTACTCATTTTGAAAATTATTTCTGAGGGGCTTTAAAAAAAAATTGGAACTCAATTATAAATTTTAACGTCTATGCATTTTAAATTTATCGCTATACATATAGTCTTCATTTCCTAAAGCATTACAATAATATGATTTATCAACAAAAAAATCCTTTTCAAGTACTTAAATTGTTTTCACAAATAGAATTAATTAACTTTACCATTATGTGGGGATTAAGCGCTCTCAGTGGCACAGCTCTTGCCTAGGAAGCCCTGCGTTTGAGCCAGCAATGCAAAAAAGCAAACCAAAACAGCAACAATACAAAACAACAAGAGTGTCTTATTTAGTGTGTGTGTGTGTGTGTGTGTGTGTGTGTGTGTGAACCCTGCCCCTCTAAAATCCTCATAGGGAAGGTCTCTAACTTCCAGTGCCTCCACGTGTGACTATGGTTTGGAGATCGGCTCCTTAAGAGGCTACTTGTGGTCGGCTGAATGAAAATGACCACCATATATTTAAGTACTTAGCCTCTTGTTGGTGGAACTGTTTGGGATGGACTAGGAAGTGTGATCTCTCGGTTTTCAAGACGGGGTTTCTCTGTGTAGTCTTGGCCGTCTTGGAACTCACTCTGTAGACCAGGCTGGCCTCAATCTCATAGAAATCCACCTGCCTCTGCCTCCTGAGTGCCACCACCGCCTGAGGCATTCTTAATGGCCCTGGAATTGCACTATTTTTTTATTTATTTCTTACTGACCTGGAGGCAGGAGCTGAGGCAGAGGCCATGGAGGGGAGCTGCTTACTGGCTTACTTACTCTTCATGGCTTGCTCAGACTGTTTTCTTATACAATTCAGCACTCTCAGCCCAGGGGCGTCCCCGCCATAATGGGGGGCCCTCCCCTATTATCAATCTCTTTGGCTGAGATTGCTCTTCGTCCATTCATCAGAATTTTTTTTTTTTTTTTTAAGAACACAATCACTATTAAGCTATAGAATATCCTTAAGGAATATCATAAAAGAAGTACATTATCTTTTAATCAAGTAGCTTGTACCCTTGTGAGGAGGTGCGTCATCCCCAAGTTGAACATAAGGTGTAGCCAGGCAGGAAAAACTCAAGGTGCAAAGGAGGGAGAGGTTTGTCTTGAGACACAAAGGACTTCAAGGAAATGCTTGTGGGAGGCCTTAAAGTTAGGAGGTTGCTTGCTTGGGGGGCTGGGCCCCTAGGTGGAGTTTGATGCGGAAGCCACCACGTGAGACTATTGGTGTTGACACTCATCATCAAGCTTTTAGGGCCCAAAGAACTTTTCGGACTACTCAGGGCCCTAAGGGACAAAGCTGGGACCAAGGGTGGACCCTGCCCTGTCAGCCTCTAGGTCCAAGACTTAGTTTTCCTGGTCACTTGTAGCCGTAACACACTTGGCTTCCCCTTTCCTTGTAGCCTGGTGCCGTTGGTGAATGCTTCCAGACCGGTGGGCACCATCCTGCATTAGCCAAGTAAATAAATAAGCAGAAAAAAAAAAAAAAAAAGAAAGAAAGAAAACAAACAAAAGCCACCCAGACTCTTTGAACTACAAGTCCCAGAATGCAACGCCGGAGTTAGAACGCGACCCCCCTCCCCTCCCCGAGAGCCCTGAAGCAGACCGTCATGCAACGCTCTCCAAGTAGGCGGGCTCGGTGAGGAGTCAACGCCAATGCCGCGACAGAATCCACGTCCGCTTCCGCCTGGGAGGGGAGCGTTTGCGCATGCGTCGCGGTGGCGTCTTGCTCCCGCGCCTGCGCAGGTGGGAGCGGCGGCGGCGGAGGCGGAAGCGGCAGCACCGGCGGCATTGGCGGCGGCGGCGGCGGCGGCACCGGCGGCTCCTTTCTCGTTTGCACGCCGAGCGGGGGCGTCCGGTCTGCGTCCTGACCTCGAAGCCTCGGGCAGAGCGGCGACATGACGGACCGCTACACCATCCACAGCCAGCTGGAGCATCTGCAGTCCAAGTACATCGGCACGGGCCACGCCGACACCACCAAGTGGGAGTGGCTGGTGAACCAGCACCGGGACTCGTACTGCTCCTACATGGGCCACTTCGACTTGCTCAACTACTTCGCCATCGCCGAGAACGAGAGCAAGGCGCGCGTGCGCTTCAACCTGATGGAGAAGATGCTGCAGCCCAGCGGGCCGCCGGCGGACAAGCCCGAGGAGAACTGATGGATGCGAGCGCGCCCCGGGCCTCCCCGATCGTCCGTGCCGTGCGCCGCGCCTGACCCTGCTCACCTGTGGGCCATTCCCAACAAGTCACCGAGACGCCGTCGGGACCCCTGGGGACGGGACTGTGCGGGAGGAGCCACCCCAGACTCAGCAAGCCAGGGGGGAACGAGACGGCCCGCACGGGAGTGATGACGCCTTTCGAGCCCGCCCGCCTTCCCGTCGTTGCTTGTCGTTCTCACCGTCTTTATAAAGTTTAGGATTTGCCCGATCTTTCGGTGTGGCTTGCTTGCTGTGTTCCTTGGGTGGGGGTTTGGCGGGAGGTGGGGGGGGCGGGTGCTGTGGACCAAAGTTTGAAGAGTTGTTCATTGCCTTAAGTCCGTCCGTCCGTCACGCACTTCTTTTATGACATTGCCTCACCTCGATTTTATTTCAGGCCTAGAGTTTTGTCGGGTCCCAGAGGAAGCTTCAAGCGTTGGGGTCCTTACGCCTGCGTTCCCACCATTTCTGAAGTCTGCTGTCACTGGCCTCACTAGATTTTATGTTGCACGTTGCATCTGCTTTTCTTGGGAATTAGTCTATATTTCTTCAGAAATGGCGACCCCACTCCCTTACCCCCATTCAGTGTTCACCAGAGCGTTATCCAAAGGTTTGGGGGCCATATGCCAGTTTGGACAGAGACAGACTATAAAATAGACGTAAGGGCTAGAAGATTCAGGGAGATTGGGGCAGCTTGAAGAATTCACACTTTTAAATATCGTTTATGATGTCAAGATATTTCGAGGGTGACATTTGAGTTAAGATTTTTAACGAATCAAGAGAAATAGCCATGCAGAGCACGGGAATTTGTTTACCATCTAATAGGGCATTGGTTAGTGTGTTACTGAAGGGACACCAAAACAGCAATGATAGTCAACTGTGAGTGCTGATAGGAGCCTCTAATCCCAGCACTCTGGAGGCAGAGGCTGGGGGATTTCGAATTGTAGAGAGACCCTGTTTCAAACAAAAAAATAAAAGGTAATAGTAATGGATTTCAGGAGAGAGGGCTCTGGACCTTAGAATTCTTGCTGTGTAAGCAGTGACCTGCATTCAGATTTCCACTAGCCGTGTAAAAACCCAGGCATAGCTCCATGGGCATATAACCCAGCACTTGAGACTAATGGACAGCTGGGGCTTGTTGGCTGCTTGCTTAGCCCCAGGTTCAGCCAGAGACCCTGTCTCAAGAAAATAAGGGTTGGAGGAAGGACAGCATTGGTTGGAGAACTGGTTCTTCCCCGTAAGACCCTGGTTTGATGCTCAGCACCCACATGGTGGCTAACAGTTGTCTATAACTCCAGTCCCAGGGGCTCCACTCACTGTTCTGGCATCTGTGACTCAAGTGATGCAGGAAAACATTCACATATGTAAAATAAAATCCTAAAGAAAGGAGGCAGCGCTTGGGAGGCAGAGGCAGGCGGATCTCTGAGTTCGAGGCCAGCCTGGTCTACAGAGCGAGTTCCAGGACAGGCTCCAAAGCAATGCAGAGAAACCCTGCCTCAAAATAACCAAAAAAGGAAAAAAAAAAAAAAAAAAAAGGGGGGGGGGAAGAAAGAGAGGGAACTTCTCTTCGAAACTGATGGAAGCCATTACAGAAAAGAGCAGCCAATCAAAATGCAGAGCTATGGAGCCCAGTCCCAAGCCCACACCCTTCTCAAAGGTTCAAGGGCTCAGGGAACATTCCTGAAGGAGTGTGTGTGTGTGGGGGGGTGCTGTACAGAAATGCTACAAGTCCCACAGGGTCAGGGAGTGCTGTGTCTCCTAGGAATGTCGGAAGCTCTGCCCGTAGAGTCTCACCAACATGGCAGCCTAAAAATAAACTGAGTGAGAACGATGATGATAAAATGCCTGAAGTGCACAGGGAAAGAGCTCCCAAGGCCTCAGCCCTACACAAGGAGCTACGGGCAACTAAAAATGCTGAGAGAGAGGGAGAAGTGGTCTTCCCCAGGGAAGAGCAGGCCAGCTGGGTTAGCTAAGGCCAATGGCCAGCTCTGAAAACATGCATTGCAGTGACATTACAGGCGGAGGGGACCATGTTTGCATATTTAGGACACAGCCACACTCATGTATGTCTATAAGGACAATTAATGGAGAAGTGGCTACAAATTTGAAGGAGTAAGGGAGGATATAAGGAGGGTTTAGAGGGAGGGAAGGGAAGGGGGAAATGATATAATCTCAAAACTAAAAAGTTAAAAAAAAAAAAAAAAGATGGAGTAAAATGCCGGACCTGCCCCTCCTCTGGCCTCAACGGTGCATGGGTTCACACCCCTGTCCCACATGCGTGCACACACCACACACCAGTGACGAAACACTGCATGACACATTTTTATGAAAACTAACTTTAAGAACGCTCGATGCTGTTTAGATTCAGCTTTTGCTTCGAAAGCCTGAAATACCACGTAATTTTCCTTCCAGTGCTAGACCCATCTGATTGGCTTTCAAGAACACATCTGGCAAATGGCCAACTCTGTGGAAGTTACACGGGAGGACAACTGGGCACGTGACTCTAGCAGAGTGTGTCTGTCCCTGGTGTGCCTGGGGCCCTGGGTTTGGCCTCCAGCACTGTCAACATATCAAAACCAACGAAAATAGGGTTGCTCGATTCGGAACGAAAAATGGAGCCTTCAGCCCCCAGCTCTGATGAGCACACGTGTTTCTCTTGACACTTCGAAGGCAGCAGGAATGCTTTGCTCATCCTAGCAGTTTCAGCGAGGGTTAAAAACGTCACAGTTGCTGATCTTGCTGCTTTATCAAAGACCTCTCCCCTCCCCAGAAATGCTGCATGTAACCTAGGATGGCCTCAATGGCGACCAATGCATCTCTCTCTTGCCTCAGCCTCTTGAGTGCTGGTGTTACAAGCACATCCAATATCCCGCCTTCCAGCACAGGCACTGGCAAATGAAAGAGCTGTGGCTGCATTTACCGACCAGGTGAGGCAGGGTCTACCCGTTAGTGGTGTAATTTGATGCCATTGTCACTTCTACGGATGTTGTTTTTGTATAATCTGGGCAAATATTAACTGTGAGAAAAGTTAATAAACTCAAGTTTTTATTACGAGAAGAATTTGACTGTACAGATTCCCTGAAAAGCCTTTTACAGCCATTTTCCTGAGTGGCGGGTAGTAGATTAAATAACAGTTACTTGGGTGCTTGACAGACATTTTCTCAAAAATGAGTGAAATGAGCCATTGCTCCGGGAAAGCTGCTAAATTGCTACATCAGAGGCCCCCGTGCATGGAGAGGAGACTGAGACAAAGTGAAAGAAAGGAAGTAAGTGTTCGGGCAATTAAGGTGTCAACACTAATGCATCACCCCGCCCTCACTTACCTCAGAGAGTAAAAAGTTAAATCGTAAATCACGGCTTCATAAAGCTTGATGCAAGAATACAAATTGTTGTTCAGGTGAACTCTTGTTGGAGGCTACAGCAACCGGCTGAGAGCGATGACAGCTTGCACCGGAGAGAAAGAAGAAAGGCCTAGAGCCCCAGAGTGGAATGACACATGTGCCAACCCAGTGCCTCTCAACCTTCTGGGGTCAAATATCCTTCTCACAGGGGTCACCTAAGGCCGTCAGAAGACTATCATGGGTGAAGGTACAAAAGTAGCAACAAATAATTTCATGGTTGGGAGTCACAGCATCAGGAAGGTTGAGAATCACGGAGCTAAACGAAGGCGTGCTTATATAAGCACTATAAAATTTGAGGAGGGACTTTGTGCTTTTTTAATTTTGTGTGCATTGTTTTTGCCTGGATGCATGTCCGTGTGAGGGTGTTAGCTCCTCTGGAACTAAAATTACAGTAGTGAGTGCCATGTGGGTGCTGGGAATTGAACCCAGGTCCTCTGGAAGAGCAGCCAGTGCTCTTAACTGCTGAGCCATCTCTCTGGCCCAGGATTTTGTATTTTTTTTTTTTTCCCCGAGACAGAGTTTCTCTGTGGCTTTGGATGTTATCCTGGAACTAGCTCCTGTAGCCCAGAGTGGCCTTGAACTCACAGAGATTCACCTGCCTCTGCCTCCCCCGAGTACTGGGATTAAAGGCGTGTGCCACCACTGCCCATCAGGATTTTGTACTTTTGAAAAAGACTTCCATAAACTAGTTAGGGATTGTATTGTAAAAGTGACAGGAAGTTGAAGATTTTAGTCTGTTTTATTAGCTGATTTATTTCAAGCATCTAGAACAGTGGCTGGCATATCCCAAGGTGTTCAGTAAATGCTTCATGTTCAATATGGAAAGATAGGACTTCTAATAAGAAGACTATAATAGATAATCTATTTTGATTTGTATGGTTCAAGCACTCTCCACTGACACCAGGACAGGGTCACACTGAAGGAACAGACCTTGGGGCCGGGAGGCAGAAGTGGGTGGATGTCTGTGAGTTCGAGGCCAGCCTGGTCTACGAAGTGAGTTCCAGGACAGTCAGGGCTGTTACACAGAGAAACCCTGTCTCAATAACAACCAAACACAAACAAGAACAAAACACAAACAAAAACAGTAACAATAACAAAACAACAACAACAACAAAAATCAGATCATGGAACGAATCTTCCCATTACAACGGTCCTAGCTAACACTGAACATTTCACAGCTTAGTTTATACAATCTTTATTTAACATATGGAAGAGATCAGAAAAATTAATTTGCTCAGAGTTACATCTTTTTTAATATAATTTTTAAAATTAGAAGCAAGCTTGTTTTACATGTCAAACCCATTCCTGAACCCTCCCACCCTCCCCTGTCTCCCCCACCAACCTCGATCCCATCCCCTTTCTGCTCCCCAGGGAGGGTAAGGCCTTCCTTGGAGAGTCTTCAAAGTCTGTCATATCATTTGGAGCAGGGCCTAGGACCTCCCCCATGTGTCTAGGCTGAGAGAGTATCCCTCTATGTGGAATGGGCTCCCAGAGTCCATTTGTATACTAGGGATAAATACTGGTCCACTACCAGAGGCTCTATAGACTGCTCAGTCCTCCTAACTAATACCCACATTCAGGGAATCTGGGTTGAACCTATGCTGGTTTCCCAGCTATCAGTTTGGAGTTCATGAGCTCCCCCTTGTTCAGGTCAGCTGATTCTGTGGGTTTCCCCAGCCTGGTCTTGACCCCTTTGCTCATCACTCCTCGCTCTCTGCAACTGGATTCCAGGAGTTCAGCTTAGTCTGCTTCTGCTTCCATCAGCTACTGGGTGAAAGGTCTAGGATGGCATATAAGGTAGTCGTCAATCTCATTATCAGGGAAGGGCATT